ATTTATTTAATTAATTGGACAAATAGGAGTAGATTTCCTCTAACATTTTTAGTCAAATTGATTCTATGACCTGGAAATATGCCCTTGCAGTTACTCCTTCCTTCACCAAGTTTTAGGAGTTTTAAATGTAATTTATAGTAGATTTATTATCTCTTGAACACATTATTCCTCTGACTCACTCATTAAAATAATGTAAATCTATAATATAAAAAGTTTAAGAAAGAGACATAAATCTAATAAAACATTGTGAACTCAGGATTTCAAGAGATAAATAAAGATAGAAGGATAATGTGTAGATAAATTCCTGGAATGTACAACTGAAAAATATTTGTAACAGGCTTGAAATTAAGGTTCAAAATCTTTTAAAAAAATCTTTTTGGACCTCACCAAACCTCATCACTTCTTTTGGTACTTTTTAAAGTAATTGTAATGACCACTAATATTTACTGGGTATTTTAAGTTGATACTTTATACTAAAAATATGAAGATAGAATTTATGCATTCAACCAATAAATTTTAATTGAACTCTTTTGTCTTATAGGAGTTATTATAAAACATACAATACTAATAATGACCAAGAAATAGAAAACATTAAGATAACTTGTGTGTGTGTGTGTGTGTGTGTGTGTGTGTGTGTGTTTTGTTTGTTTGTTTGTAATCTGAAATGTAGAAAACTTTCAGGACGACAGAGACAATTTATATAGGTCCCAGTAAAATAATTTAGAATGTCAGATTGATCTATATGTTTAAAATAGTTGTTTGTATCAAATGGGTTACTTTTTGAGAGAATACCATATGATTTCACTTATATGTGGAATCTAAAGAACAATATAAACTAACAAACAAAACTGAAATAGAATCATAGATACAGAGAACAGACTAATAGTTGCCAGAGAGGAGGGGTTTGAGGGACTGGGTGAAAAAGGTGAAGGGATTAAGAAGTACAAATAGACAGTTACAGAATAGTCATGGGGATATAAAGTACAGCATAGGGAATACAGTCAATAATACTTTAATAACTAGGTATGTTGCCAAGTGCGTACTTAGAAATATTGGGGGAACACTTTGTAAAGTATATGATTATCTAGCCACTTTGCTATACACCTGAAATTAATACAAAATAATATTGAATGTAAACTGTAATTAAAAAAATGAAACTGAAAAAAGATACTTGTTTAATTAAATTAAGAAGGCATTGCTTAGCACAAGTGGAAAGAGATTTGGCATCAGGCTGGAATCCCAACTCTACCACTTATAACCTAGATGACCTTGGGCAAGTCATGTAAATGGTTTCCTCACATGTAAGGTGGCAGGAGTTATAATAATAATATGTTTCTCATAGAATTCTTGTTGGTAATATACTTATAGTGATAAATAAGACATATAGCACTTCCATAAATAGTGTCTATCATTATTATAATATTTCTAATGATTACTCTATTCTAAGCCTTTCAATTCCTAATATTTCATAATAAAAATGGTATAAACTCCTTATGCTCCATTTCTGAAGTAAAGTTCTTCTAGGATTGTTTCTTGATCATATTATGCCGACTTCAGTGATCTTGAGAAGGGTTGGAGCATGGTGTGGGGTAAGTATAGAGACTTAAAGCTGGAGGTTGTTGAGCTCAAGTTTACCATGCTGGCTTTCTGAGACACTTATCCTACTGAAACCAAATTTATAACTCAGGATTTCTGCTTCTGGGCCACAGGAAAGGCAAAAGTGTTAATGGCCCAGTGCTAGGGAAAGAACAGAGAAAATGGCAGCTCAAGAACCCCCCTGCTCTTCCAAGATTTAGTATTATTACAATATATTCACTACAACCTGTGTGGCCAGCATATTTTTGGTTTCCAAAGCCATCTTCATGGATTCATTAGTCCTATTATTTAAGAAAAAAAGAATTTGCTAAATTTTATTGTTATCTTTATAATCTTTATATCAACAGAATGTTTTACAAAGTTATGTGGCAATCTTTTAAGACTCATTGGACTCCTCTGGTTATTGCGTTTTTAATGTTCATTAAAGTAAACATTTATCTTTTTATTGCTTGGCAATCCTCATGGTGCCTAAGTTAGGGTCTTGCATTGGAAGTTTTTAAATAAAAGTTAACTGATTAAAAATTTCTTATTTCCCCTGAAGACTTGTCCTTTTTATGATGTTTCTTTTTTCTTTCTTTCTTTCTTTCTTTTTTTTTCTTTCTTCCTTTTGGAGTAATATAACAATATGTATTACTTGAAAGTTAGGATTTCTACCCTAACCACTGTGCTTGTAACCACCATAAATATTGCAGATAAAATGAAGCATGTAAAATAGTGATTGAATTGAAGGTCTCTATTTTTAGAAGTTCTTAAGTTAGGCATCACATATACCTATTAAACATGAAATTGTTATAAAAACAATAATTAAATATGTTTCCATTAACCCAATGTATTCATCAACCAAAATAACTCTATGTTCCTAGATGAGATAGTTGAGATTATATTTATTCTCCTGAAAACCAGATTTAGCAGTGACTCTCTTCCAATATATTAATTTTATGTAATATTTATTAATTTAGAAACAGTTATCAAAAATTTAAAATTATTGTTTTATTAAAAATAGAAGAATGTATTTTTATTTTAGAATATTGGAGAATAAGGGAACTCTGTGTGGTAATTTATTAAAAATGACACCAGTGAACCATGCCTACATGAATTCAAAGTCCTGTGTAGTCTTCTCTCAATGAACCTGGGCTGGCTCTATGATTCCTTTGTTTTAATAGAATTTGATGAAAATGGGGTTGTGTAAGTTTTGGGTCGAGGCCTTCAGGAGCCTTGCAACGTTTTCTTGCTACTCTGAGACATCATTAGTTTATTTGAGAATGAGAGGTCTTATGGAAAGAGAGGCCCTGTTGCAGAAAGACTACCCAGAGAAATTCAGCCAGATCTCAGCCATTACAGTCGTATCAGCCTAGGCCCTTGACTTGTGGATGAATCATCTTGGATCCTTCAGCTCCTGTCAAGCTGCAAGCTGACTGCAGATGTGTGAGGCCAGTTAACACCATATGGAGCAGACATTAGCATACCAACTCTACCCAGTCCATATTGCAGAATTGTTAGCAAATAAATGGTTGTGTTGTTTTAAGCACTAAACGTGGGGGTGGTTTGTTATGCGGCAATAATTAACCATTGTATATAAGGAAATTATGTATTATTTTACCACTTTGACATAAACAAACATTTTAGAGTCATTCATATTGGATAGAGAGTTTGTTCATTGTATTATGAACATTTTCTCATGCACTTAATCTTCAAAATATTTAGATTTTGTAAGAAAAAAAGGTAAATATAAAAGTAAAATCAACAACCAAAATAAAAAACACCATAAGCTAGACTTTTACAAGTGAGCAATATATGTTTTCTATATTAGTAATAGCATAAATATATGTGAGATATAGGCTATGCTGTGTATTAGTTATAAATTGCTATAAGACAAACCTCCCCCCAAAACTTAGTGGCTTAAAATAACAATAAACATTTATCTCTCAAATATTTTCCCAGACAAGAATTCAAGGGGCCTGGTTTGGGGGTTCTGGTTCTGGCTCTGTCATGAGGTTGTGATCAATATGTCAGCTAGTCTGCAGTTTATTTGAAGCTTTTATTTACTTCCCAGGTGACTTATACAAGAGTTCTAGCTGTCAGTAGGAGGCCTCAGTTCTTTCCCACCTGGACCTCTCCACAGGGCTAGTTGAGTGTTTTGAGGACATGGTGGCTGGCTTCCCCCATGAGTGATTCAAGACCCTAAGGTGGACGCTGCAATGCCTTCTATGACCTAACCTCAGAAGTTCCATGCTATTACTTCTACAATATCAGGTTAGTTGCCCAGGTCAGCCCTATTCAGTGATATACTAGTAAATCACCATTGCTGAAATATAGAACAATAGGAATGACCTATTATGAAACTATGAAATCTGACAGAATATTGAACCAAAATGGCCATAAAATGAAAATAGTTTTATTGAAATATAATCTTAGAACTTGAGACATAAGGGTTGTGCGACTGTAGAAAACAAGATTTATATGTTCTTTTAGGAAGAAATATTTCAATGCTTCACTAACTAAAAATTACACATGGTGAAGAATAGGTTGGTGATAAATGAAGAAATTAAACTAAGTTTACTTCAATATTATTTCAATATTTTACTGAAATGATAAAAAATTTATTTTTACTTTTAAAAAATCTTCTTGAAGATTAATTCATGTAGAAACTTGGCCTGAAAAACAAATTGAAACCATTTTAAGAAGCTTTAACACAGAATTAGTACATATAGTATTAATTTATGCAAAGTGGAGTTAAGATATTTTCTGATAAGATGATATAGGTTTTTAATGTAGTCAATCTGAAAAATGCAAGTAATTTTTCTTTTGTTGATTTATTCACAAAACCAATCCTAGCATATTAAAATATACCAATCCTAGTATATTAAAACTGGAAGATACTATGGTGATCAATGAGATAGTCTTCCATGCAATGCAATAATTCTTTCTGTAGTTTTTTTGATAGATGGTCAAATTTTTACTTTGATATCTTCATTGTTGGCAATTCTAGTTTAAATGTATATTTTTTTCAGGTTGAGTGAAAATGTAACATATTGTAAATCCATCTATTTCTGCCTTTAGAGTAGCAAATAATCCACTTCTGCTTTTGTTTTTTTTAATTATTAATTTTTTACAGAGAGGAAGAGAGAGAGATAGAGAGCCAGAAACATGGATGAGAGAGAAACATTGACCAGCCGCCTCCTGCACATCCCCTACCGGGGATGTGCCTGCAGCCAAAGTACATGCCCTTGACCAGAATCGAACCCGGGACCTTTCAGTCCGCAGACCGAATCTCTACCACTGAGCCAAACCAGTTTCGACCACTTCTGCTTTTGGATGACAGTCCTCAAATATCTACCTCCATCTTGCTTCCTATATGTCATATATACCAAGATCCAGGCTTTTTACAGATAATATTCATTAACACTGTGCTATTGTAAAAAGTGTCAAAATATAACTAGGAAATATAGATATACTTTGATATGCTAGAATTTGAGTTTAATACTTTACTACAGTATAAACTCTATGAAGGCAGGGCCTATATATTTTCACTCACCTAGAAAATTGCCTCGCACACAATATTTGTTTAATAAATGAATAAATGAACATGGTTCAAGTCAATGTGTGTCTTTTTGCTAGAACCTGGAATTTTTTTTCTTAAAACTTCAAGATTACAGTACCAGTGGAAAATAATATTTTGTATTTTTAAAAGTTTATCCCATTTAAAAATATTTTGTCAACAAATTAGTAAAACATCTTTATGCCATTGGATAAATTCTGTCTTTTACTGTACTAGCACAAGTCTAATGTCCTAAAGGCATTTTCTAAAACCACAAAAAGAAAAATTATATTACTTCCAATGGGAAAGGAAAGTAGAACAAGAACAGTTCTGTGAACTGAACTAAGACCACATGACAATGATAATTTTTTATATTTATTCTTATAAAAGTCAACAATAGGATTTTGTAATTCCTTTTGAAAACACACACACACACACACACACACACACACACACACACACACTTCTTTCTTCCATTTGGGAATCATTAGATTTAGGTCTGGTTAGGACTCCTTATTGCATTGTGTACTCATTTTCAGCAATTTACTGAAGATGTTTGTTGTAAGTATAGATTTCGCCTCATTTTATTAAGCTTGTAGTAACTGACAGAATCAATGTCAAGGTAAGAGATTTACTTTGCATCAAAGCTATTTATTGAGATTAGCTGGGTTGATTTCAACTTTAATATCATCCTTCAGTAGAATCTACATATTTGCTCAAGTTGTTCAAGAATTACTGTTAAAGCTGCCAAAACACTTGCATCAGAGAACCCCAACTCAGTTACTCAGTTGCAAGACAACGAATCAAGGCACAGTCAGTACATTGGAGCAAAGTGAGGAGCCTCTGAAACTTGGAAATAAGACCATTTTGTATATGTAAGGCAAGTAAGACTCATAAAGTTTTACTTGAGATTAGCCATCTGTAGAAAATGTTAATGTGTGCCTGAGGTTGTCCATGGTTTAGATGAAATATCATTCCAAACATTATTTGCTCAGATTCCTTTTTTTACAAAACTACTTTACAAGTCAACCTTCCAGATATTTTTATTTTGAAGCTCTATTTCCCTGAAGAATAGACAGATCTGTGTCCATGGTCACTGGAAAACACACTCTACATTGTTAATGAATGTAATACTCCATTCCTGAATCAATCCCTGGCCTAGGTCAGTATTCAGGACCCTGTTCTACTCTGGGTGCATTGAGAACAATGAATAATGATCTCTCGGGGTGTAAAGATATAGGTATTCTATTATTAGCTCCTTTTAAATCTGTGTGGACAGCTAACATCTCTCCTTTTATTTTATCCCTAATCTCTCACCTAACTTTATTCTAGACCTTTTAAGCATTACACTGTAGTTGTCGATACAATGAGTAGATTTAACCACCACTACTATCTGATAAAATTGTAATTGAACACCATTTTGGCAGTAGCAAAGTACCAATTGGTTCAGCTCATTAAAGTTTTCTGAGATGTGAGCTGAACTTGACAACCAACAAAGGATGGCTTGTCAGATGAGTACTTACCTAATATTTTGGCATCACTGGCTCAGAAATAACTGTAATACAGAAGTTGAGCCTAATATCTGTAAAGAAAATATTTCACAATTGTAAAAATTTATCTTGTTCAGAATCTGTATAAGAGATTCACCAGACTATTCACACATAAAACATGTTCTTTAAGCATTGTAATTGAATTAGGATTCAGATTTTGAATGAAAATCTCTTTTAAGTAAGGAATTTTTGCTGATTCAAGAGAATTTCTAAAATGACTATCCTATAAAATAAAAGCCCAGCAACCAAATGGCAGAATGACCAGAACAACCAGTTGACCAGTCACTATGATGTGCACTTACCACCTGGGGGCAGGCGCTCAATGCAGGAACTTCCTCCTGATGGTCAGTGCACTACCACAGTGGGAGCATGCATAAGCAGCTGCTCCCGCTGTGAACCCCGGGCTGATGGGCAGGAACCCGGCTGTGATCATTGCCTCCTCACCCCAGGCTCCTCCTTCTTGCTCCCCCCTCCCCTGGATGCCTGCCTGTAGGTCACTCAGCGCCACGCTGTGCTCACAGAACTGACCCCACAGGCTGGGAGGCAGTAGGCCACCATAGGACTGAGGCCTACTCTGCCACCACCTCCCAGTGCTATTATCCCTGGGCTTGGCCCCAATCAAATCCCTTGTAGAGGCGAGTGCTCCAGCTCCACGGAAGATGCCGGATCAGGGAGCAGCTGCTCAGAGGGCAGGTCCACAACCGCTTGGCTGACCTGGATGAGCAGCAGCGCTCCCACAGAGGGCCAATCTCTGCAGGCCATGCCCCACAGGTGCACAAATCCTGTACACTGGGCCTCTAGTAATCTATATAGCCACAAAGACTAAGAATATAAATATTTATTTAGATAATAGAGTAGGCAGAAACATGGCACCTCTAAACATAGATTCACTTCATTATCCTCAAATCCTTAAATATTACCTTATATGGAAAAATATGTGATTAAGTTAAGGATATTGAGAGGACACGCTTATTTTGAATTAGCCAGTAGGCCTAAATGCAATCACATACTCTCAAAGAGGCAGAGGGAGATTATAAACAAGCAGAAGAGAAGATACTGAAGACAAGGTGCTATGAAGGCAGACCAGAGAGATGGTAGCCATAACCAAAATGCCAAACACCCCCGAAGCTGAAAGAGGTAAAAAATGGATTCTTGCCAAAACCGGTTTGGCTCAGTGGATAGAGCATCAGTCTGTGGACTGAAGGGTCCCAGGTTTGATTCCGGTCAAGGGCATGTACATTGGTTGTGAGCATATCCCCAGTAGGGCGTGTGCAGGAGGCAACTGGTCAATATTTTTCTCTCATCGACGTTTTTAGCTCCCTAACCCTCTCCCTTCCTCTCTATGGAAAATCAATAAAATATATATATATATTTAAAAATGAATTCTTCCCAATTCTCCAATGATAGTGTGGCACCCTGACACCTTAATTTTGGACTTCTGGCCTCTGGGTCTCTGAGAGAATAAATTTCTGTTATTTTAAGCCATCACGTTTGTGGTAATTTGTTGCAGCAGCCATAGGAAATTAACACAATAAGTAAAGGTTTACCGAGGTTTTGTTTTGCTCCCCAACTTACAAATCACACTCCTTTCTGTATTGGATTACAGGTAGAACTTATACAGTTGTATCTTTGATGAGGTGTATTGTCTCATAAAGTTATCTGAAATGTTCTTTAAAAAAATATTAAGAATCTTATATACTCTTGGAGTTTAAAACATTTGGCCAGACTGGTAAGTGTCAGGATGATAAAAATTAGGTGTTAGATTAATTTACCTCAATACAATTTGTGTTTATCATGATTATTTTTGGATAGAGGAATAAAAACACAAAGACAAAAAAGGATTCTCTTTTTCATTTCACTTGGACTTTCCAGATCCAACAGTGCACATTGTAAAAACAAAGAAAGGTGCCCTTATCTCAGATTCTTTTTTATTTTTATTTTTTTTATTGATTATAGTCTCATATAATTGTCCTTATTCCTCCATTCCCATCCCAAACCCCTCCCTAGATATGCCCTTCTTCCCCCCCCTACCCCCCCCCCACCCCCGTTGTCCATGGCCACTGGCTAGGCCCATATGTATGCACACAAGTCCTTTGGTTGATCTCTTCCTCTTACCCCCATCCTCCCTTACTTTCCCTCTGAGGTTTGAGAGTCTGATTGCTGGTTCTCTTTCTCTGGGTCTGTTTGTGTTGTTCATTATTTCCTCTAGATGTGTGAGATTATGTGATCCAAGAAATACCCTTTGCTTGAGTTTTGCACTTATTATTTCTTTACATAGAGAATTCTTTCTTTCCTTTAGCTTCCTTCATTCCCCAAATAAGTATTAAGTTGCTGTCATGTATTCAAAATGACAAAGACGCAGCAGTCCAAGAGGCAGGTATGGTCTTTGTCTCTAGGATAAGCACTAGCCCACTGGTGCCTTTGCACAAATCAGGAAAAGGTGCCACCTCTCAGCAGTCACAGCCTGGTTGTCCAGGGTTTGTCCAGCTGAATAAAGGTAGACTTTAGCCCCACTTGATCTCTTGGTTGGCTAATTTTGTGCACAATCTGCACAGCTATAGCCAGCAAACATACTTTGTCTCAAGAAGATTATTATGTAGCCAGGGCAGATATCTTCTTGGTTAGTACCTCCAGCACTCTACTCTACTTTGAAAAGGGACAAAAAATAAACAAACAAAACAAAACCCCAAACCCCACAAAAAAAACCCATCAGTTTCTGGATTACTGAATAGAGCAGGCTCCAATCCCAAATAATGTTGCATACTCCAGAGAAGGGTGAAATAAGAAGGTGAATATTGATACTTTCCACAACTGCATGCCTTCTCCCATAGAACCTTATGCATTTCTCTCAACAGGTTTTCATGCACCTAATTCTGTCCCACAGGTCAGAGAATTTGTTCTATTCTGTTTTTTTCCAGATAGTGAAATGCTAACAATCAGTCCTCTATGCACTGTGTAAGAAACCAACTACTGAGATGCCTAAGAGGAGTTTATGGGCTCTAAGCTGCTAAAATTTGTGGAAGGTGCTAATAGGCTGTAAGAAACTATTTGGAAAGATAACATATTGAATGAAAGAAACATTACAAGAACACATGTAGGCATAGCTACAACCTAGATGTGTGTGTGGAGGAAATGCCTCTCTTTGGGGACTACTCAGAATTACCACATGACAAAGATGGAGATTGTTGGTGAATTCTCAGTATACTTTAGCTTCTTTACACCAGCAACAAAGATACATATAGATAAATTATTCCTATCTCTTTTCAAAGTAAAGGTATATTTGTGTTGTTTCAAAAAAGAAATCATCCTGTAGGAAACTGGAAAAGATTGTGGGATTTAGGGTGTGTGTGAGAGGATTAGATATGTTTTGCTTTAAAAAAGATAATGGGAGAATCAAGTTTTCTCATTTTTCCCTATCATAGCATAGGGATTTAGGGACAGAAAACCTGATAAGTGTTTTTTGTTTTTTTTCCTTAAGTCAGGAAAAGAAGCCTGAATCAGTAGTCTAGCTTGCCAAATGGATTCTGACTTATAAGAAAGATTTGTATTTTAGGGGTTGGGGTTGAGTGGGAGTGGAGGAAAGGATGTGAAGGGGGGAAAAGCAACCAAGGAAAAGCTGCAAATAGTTATGAGGGAGCCAAAAAAGAGAGGCAGAGCCAAGACCGGGAAGATTTATTCCATTCTAAAATAAGGATCTCCACTGCTTAGTTAAGCTGAGAAAATGGTTTATGTTAAAATCGCCTGTATGTGGGCTAGCTCACTATAAACTTTCCGTTCAGATGACTGACCAACTCATTCAGTTATAATCATATTGGTCAAAATAGACATGGTTCTTTCTTTGAGTCATAGCTATTCAGATAGATTGTTATTACAGTTTGTGAGAAATGACTATGATATAAAATTGCACTGGAACAGAAGGTGAGATAGCTTAAAAGTAGCCTTATTTTTCACTTAAAAAATCTACTGTGAATAGAAAAACCCCCTATTAAGAGTCATTTTTCTTTTCTTTAAGTTCCATAGCTGTGCTGAATATGAAAGGCAGAGTTTATCTTCTTATATTCTGTCCTCACAGTTTAGATAAGAAAGGCCACAAGGTTAAATGTCTCTCGTTTTACAGCTACACTAGCTCCAGTTGTGGGCTTGAAACTTGGCTGTGGAAACTCGAGTGGGCTCCACTCCAAGCAAAACTGGCTTTTTGTATTTCCAGGTCCAGGAAAATGAGTTTGCAAAGCAGACCCAATCTCCTGACTGTAATGGACAGCACATAGATCTGAAAAGATACAGATGGAACCAAATGCAGATGTGGTTGACAAACGGGTCTTCGTGGCAGAGCACAGCTGCACGGGGCAGTGGTGGCCACAGCAGCGCATTTGCTGAACGGGACAGTCAGTACCACTAGAAGAAGTGGCATCCCTCTTTGTTCACGTCTCAGGAAGGCCTGGTTCACACTGAGGTTCTGTTGGTCAGCCTGCATTCCTGACTTCTGAATGCTGAGTCAAAGTCTCCCTCCCAGCTCACCGCATGGCCACCCACACAACCAGAAAGATGTGGTAATTGACAAAAGAGGAAGTGGTATGGAGCAGGAAAAGCACTTTGCTGCACCAGATTGCTCTTTTCTGTGGCAAATTGCTGAAACATGCCAAACTATAGGAAACAGTGCTCAGACACTAGCCCAGGCAGAGTTTAGCATCTACTGGGAGGCAGTACACTGTAGTGATGAAGAGTCCTGCAGTCATAGGTCCTGGACTTGTTTTCCAGCCCTTACAGAGCTACATGGGATTTGGGGTAAGTTAGCCAACTTCCTTCTGTGCCTTCGTTCCTTTATTATTACAACGGCGATGATAATAACCATACCCATATAATAGGGTTGTTGCCAGAATTAAGTGACTGAATATCAGTGAAGCACTTAGAATAGTGCCTGGCTTACAGTAATCACTAATAAATGTTAGTTATTTGTAACTTCAGTTCTAATTCTTTTAAAATTTACTGGGAGTATTGCCATCAAGATACTATTTAAAAGGACACAAGAGTGACACCTGGAATTATTTGCTCTGGAGAGTTTGCTTATGCCTTACATTTCCTACTAGATAGATCATTCAAGAATTCAGAGTGAAATAAAATTAAGGGGGGATTGTCATAGGTCATGACCTGGAGAAAGGCCCCTGTTAGATATAACTGACTGTAATAAAGGGCAAAGGCTGCGGCATTCGCTATAGTTCTCCTGGTCAGGAGCTAGTTTTGTCTCAGAATCTGCTCAAAATGGAGTTTTCAGGAGCGGACTCCGTTGGTCAGCCTAGCTGCGGTGCTTGATCTGGCTGCAGGGACACCAAACCAGAGTAGGGAGCCCAAATGACAACGGGAAGGCAGTATTAAAGAACTGTTGCTTGAAAGAAAGGTTGGACTTTGTTTATTTTTGTAAGAAAGTGCCAAGATGAATGACTGGAAATTTCATGAAACCAGCTTGGGCTCCATATGAGGAGAAAGTTCTCAATCACAATTGTTTTCAAATAGCAAGGGCTGTCCTATCAGGTTCTCATATGAAAAAATGGTCAGGGCAGAAGCTAGCCCTTCACCCATCAGAGCTGTACCTGTACATTCATTGTAGTGGGACTAATAATCATCCAACCACATTGTTATGTGAATTAAGTGAGATAGTGTGGTATGGCAGTTAGCATGATGCCTGGCACATTGTAAATATTTGAGGAATGGTAATTGTTGATACCACTACAATCACTACTGTCTCCACCGCTATTATTGCTATCGTTATTATGATTAATGGGGGCTTTACATGTAGCTAAGAGGCTGGACTATGTGATCTCTCCAGTTTCTATGATTGTTAGCTTATGCTTTTTATGGTCTCTTTCACTCAGGAAGTTGAAAAGACTTAGAAATGGGAGACATCTTACATTGTAGGATGTGGTGTAGCTCTTCATGTGTTTATTATGCTAGCTCCTTTGACTATTCTATTATTTATTATTCTGTACTTTATTTAGAATGGTTTAACCTGTGTATAGTTCAGCTGTATTCTTTGTTAGTATAGTAATTATAGACTTCTGTTTATAAAGATGAAAAAGAGATGGGGATAAAGAAATGAAAAAGAGTTTCAAGTTTAAATACCAAGATCTTTTATTTCTCAGCTGGTAAACAGGTTGGATGAGAATTATTTTAGAAAGAGTGGCACCTTGTTTATTTTCTTGTGAAGGAAAGTTTGAGAATTTTAATACTTGTTTGTGACTCTTTTTCTTGAGAAAAGAAATTGAGTTAGGAATAAAACTGAGTAAGAAATTAAAAAAAAATCAACATATTTTTCTCCAAAAAACCCCCAGAAAAAAAACAAAACAAAAACAGAACTTGCAGAAGCAAGATAAGAACAAAACATCTACATACAGGATATGTCTAAATGATGGGGAAAAGTGGAAGCTATTATTTCTCCTATTATAAATATATGCTCTTGGCATAAAGTATTTATATGACTAGAGACACATTTAATTGTAATCACCCTGATCATTTATTGACAGTAAGGTCAGGCTGCACAGGACACATTAAAATTTTCAGCTTTATCAACATCTATGAGATAATAGGGACAACAAAAAGGAGCACAGATAATTACGTTACAAAGAATGCAGAATCATAAATGGTTTTTACTCTATAATCCCTGCTCGCTTCGCAGATGATAAATGGAAGCCCTGTTGGAGTTTGGCTTCATTTCTATTTGTTCTTCCATGTGTGCAGTTTACTTAGGCTCCCTTCTCCTTGAAGGGTTTTTCACCCTTGCCTGTAGGCCTGCAGAGGCAATCAAGGCTGAACAATAGGTGCCTTCTTATTTCAAGTGGGCAATTTGCATTTCTGAGGAGCTCCTGACTGGATTGAACACATTTCACCTCCACTTCTGCCGCTCAGGGGGACTGTTCTTTCTAGACATTTACGTCTTCTTTTAGCATCGTGGGTTGTTGCTCAGCTTTCACGCTCCTGAGAAACATAAGGCACCTGAATTTGCACAAAGTCATTGTTTTTATTTCCTCTTAGATGCAGTTTTCATAAATTAAGAACTGTGGAGACGGGAAGTATAGATATTTTCAGCTTGTCTGCTTGGTTGGGAAGAGAAAGCAAGATATTGGAAAAGATACAGAAATGTAGGATCAAAATATATTTTCTTTTTCGTAGAGGGGAGGAGACATTAATACGCTTATTTAGTGAAGGAGCAGAGACAGTAGAGATGGGATAGGAGATGCAGGTCAAGGAAGAGGTGCAAGTTACTGTCCTGCTTACAATTCTCCAGTCTCTTTGGATTGACAAAGTCCTTCAGTCTTGACTGTTCTTCACCTCTCTAGCATTTTCTTTAATCATCCTCCACATAAAAAGGGAACGACAGAAGGGTAGAGCGAATTAAGGGACATTTCCGGGGGACATTGGGAGAACGGAAAAAAGCAAGGGAAGAAGCAATAGAAGAGGAAGCAGGAGAAGAAGGGAGGAGGGAGAGGGGGGAGGGGGAGGGTGGTAGGCGTGGCGAGGCTGGGGAGGGATGGTGGGGAGGAGGGAGAGATGGAGGGGGAGGCGGTGACGGTGGAGCGTGGGAGGGAGGGGGGAGGGAGGGCTGGAGGTGGAGGGGGGAGGGGGCGGGAAGCGAAGGATAGAAGGAAGCCGGAAGGCCAGGAAGGAAGGACAGGCAGGAAGCAGGAAGGCAGGAAGAAAGTCGAAGAAGCGTGAGACGCCGAAAAAGTAAGCAAGATAGACACGACCCGCGCAAGCTGCCATGACCGAGACCCTCTGACTACTCCTCCCCTCCCCTCACCCTACTCCTCACTCTCCTCCTCCTCCTCCTCCTCCTCCTCCTCCTCCTCCTCCTCCTCCTCTTCCTCTTCCTCCTCCTTCTTCTTGCAAGGCCACATTTAAGTTAACCTGAAAGCCTTGTTTAGATGATCCCTTTCTCTAGGAAATATTTTCTGACGTCCCTCTTCTTAGCTGAAATTAGTCACTTCAACTTGAACACCTTTAACATTATTTGTAGACTTTTATACTATTAATCACCTTATATTAAAACTTCCTATTTTTTATTTTTAAAATATTTTACTGATTGTTTACAGAGGAAGAGAGAGGATAGAGAGTTAGAAACACTGATGAGAGAGAAACATCGATCAGCTGCTTCCTGTATGCCCCCTACTGGGGATGTGCCTGCAACCAAGCTACATGCACTTGACTGGAATCATACCTGGGACCTTTCAGTCCGCAGGTTGACACTATCCTCTGAGCCGAACTGGTTTCGGCAAAATTTCCTTTTTATTTGTCTTTCCCCCTACAGGTGGCCATTAATTCCTTGAGGCCAGGGAGTGTGATTTGATAGGTAAGTGCTCATTAAGTGTTTACGAAACAAGGCAAAGAGTGCCACACCTGGGTATAATTGTACTTACATGAACTTTGCTTTCTTTCAAAAACTGTTGTTTGAACATCTCTTTGTTTTCCAATTTTCCCCTAAAATAACTGCTGCTTTCTTGCCTATTGAGAAGAGCTGCTGGGGTCCAGAGAGTGAGTACTCATATTGCCACTTGTTCCAAGGCTAAGGCAGGCACCATCAATTAATTATTGGGATTTGTCACACAACCTGGACACCACCTCTGCATGGTGGCTGCTACTAATGGATCAGAATGACACTTGTGACTAAACCTACTTGCTCTTCTTTTACTTCTCACAGAGTCTTCTTTTTCTTAAATCTTTCCTAGATGTGGTGGAAAAACCTCCCTTCTTCTCTAAAACTGTGTTCTCTGCTTTTTTAGGAATTCACCTGGCCATCTTCATGGGTGTATGATCTTCAAGCAATGAAACTCGGGTGGATTTTCATTTTATTTAGTAATTTATGGTTCTATTTATTCAGTAATTTAGTATAATTCTTTTACTCCTTATATATAAACATAGTATTAGCCCACTATTCAGAGGGAGGGGGCTGGGAATCCTTACCCTTTTTAGAACAATTATTGCAGGGGAGACGTTGAAGGGGATGAAGGCAATATTGTACCTCCATAAAAAGATCACATTGTACTTACATAGGAAAAATGTAAAGGAGTGAGGAACTCATTAATGACCATTACCTTTTTGTTGATCTCTTGTTCTCCATTCCTCACTCCACACTGTATATTTCTGTCTAATGGAAATTTATTAGTACTTACTTGTGCCAAGTACTTACTGTATTAGTACTCACCCAGTAAAAATGCAGAGACAAACAGCCCCCAAGGAGTTCACAGTCTTATCAGGGAAGGCATTAAGAACTAATGCAGAAGGATGCGCTGGATGATAGTTGAAACCATGCTGATATAACTTGGTCTGATTTGCCCCATATGCCCAGATGTGTTTCTAGAATTCGTGACATTTCATTTTAATGATCAAAGTTGCTTAGAATCTTTGTTCTTAATCTTGATTTGTGTTTGTATATAGGACAATGCCCTTAAATCGGAAATTGTATGTGAGTAAGACCTGTTATGGATTAAAAGTTTCAAAAAATATTATAAAGAGGGTATATACTTATTTTCTGAGTCAACATCAGAAGTTAGAATTCAGTAAGATTTAAGACTCTATCAGTTTAGAAAATATTACTAATTCTTTTTAAAGACCATCAGGGGGAAAAAATCAAAATAAAGACCATCAGATTTTGTTGAGTCTATAGAATTGCTTTGTTATAAGAGGCAAAAGACAAACTTTATTTAGAAAATTAAACACACAAAAAAGACATCTCCCCACCCTGTTTACTCTTGACTCAAATTGTAGCACAGGCATTAAAGAAAGCCTTGCTAAACGGATTGTGTTCTCTAGTGAACATTAACATTAGCACCCACATGAATATTATAAAAATGAGGAACAGAATGTACACAATAAACCTTAGGAAGATTCTGATGCAGATAAGGCCAAATGTTTCATTTTTGTTATTTAATGTAATGCTGTTACAACTTACTTGCAACATTATTCTCCTCACGGAGGGCCCCCTAATTATTTCATCATGCAGCAGGAAATCCTGGTAGGTCATATATAAACAGCCTGAGGCAGGAACCTCTTCATCTGATAGAGTAGGACATCTGACATCTGTGCAGCCCGCTGCTCACCCGCCACAATTAACCAGGAAGCGCAGACATTAACTAATGCAAAGGCAACTGGGAGTTTAGGATACAGTCGAGTAGCAAAGGTCTTTCCTAATCCAATAAATTCCTAAAAAGATGAAAACGAGACAGCAAATAGGTGACAATTTTCGGAGGAACTGAACCTTTGTGGCCTTTTTTCCTGTTTTCCAAGAAGCAGCAAGCCATCTTTCTCATCTCCCCTCCCTTTCGACTTCTCATGTATGCATAATTTCCCGTGACTTTGAATGGGACTCAAGTGCACTTAGAGGCTGCTGGGGTTAGCTCTTGGTATTGTTTATGCTTACTGCTTGAGTGGGGGGTGGGAGTCCATTTCTGGGCTTCACAAAGTAAATGAAGTTGAGCAGGGAACTACGGACCGTGTTCAGGGATGGAGCCAGCACCTGCTTGATAGGCTAATTGTACCAGGCATTTATTGCTTATTATTCTGCTTGGAGGCAAATGCTAAGGACAGTGGAAGATTTGCACTGCCAGGAATGTCACTGTATTTTCTGATAAGAAAACATAGTTTTTATATTTTATTTCAGTGTTTTTCTTAAACAATATTTAACTGAGTACATACTATGTGTTTGTACAGGAAGCTTGACCCCTGGCTGGATAAGGTCATCTGTACTCAGGACTGAAGAAGACCATCTCTGCCCATGAACTTGGTCTCTTGAAGAAGACGACCACAGGAAGTAAATAACATGCAATTGTGGTGTCTTATAAGTGGACTAAGAATTGATAAGGAGGACGCAACTAAAGTAACAGCATTAGATTAAATAACAAGAAGTTAGTTGATAATTAAGGGGAGAGTCAGGCAAGAGAGCATCTTGAGTAGTAGGTTTTTCAGGTTCACAAAGGGAAGAGTGTGTTAGAGTAACAGAATAAGGCACTGAGATATTGAAGAGCCAGGGATGTTTGAGGGAGCGAAGGGAGGATTAATACTGTGGGCACACAGGATGTGTGGAGGGCAGTGGAAGGAGATGGGACTGGGAAAGTAGTCCCTGGATTTTGGGGCCATGCTAAGGAATTATTGTACTGGCAGTGATTAGCTTGGTTTTCTTTGAAAGTTAATGGAAAATCATTGCTGGAACTCAATACTTTTGGAAGATTGTTCTGTCCGAAGTGTGTGGGATAAATTGGAGAGGAAGAAAAGATTTGAGGCAGGAAGCCAGTGAGGAAGCTGTTTCAGTAGGGACCTCCCCCCACCCTCCCCATGTTCATTTGTTGATTTCTTCAACAAATAATGCCTAAAAAGGTAAAAGATACCTTTGAATTTGATGTCTTGGTATTTTAAATGATACTGGGATGGCTTCAGGATTAATTTCTTTATCCTCTCTTCTCCTCAAACCCATCCTCTTTTTTCTATTTCTGAGCCATCTGACACCAGAAATCGCTGTAATCACACTCCTTTGAGGATAAAGCTCTTGGCCAATATTTCAATTATTTCAATGCTACCCAAGGTCATTTTTTGAAGTCCATGGCTTGTTTGTAGTGATACAGAGGAAATTTGTTCTAAATAATCACTCCTGGGTTTATACGACACGAAGAAGCAAGGGTTGGGAAATATGTATGGTCAGTTAGGATTCGACCTTTTAAAAAACTAGGCTGCAGGAATCCAGTAAGGAGAAGTCTGTGGAATTCAGAACAATCATACTGTATTAATTATTATTATTCATCTTATATTGCTGCAAGTGTACACAATGTTATATAAATGGTTGACAGGTTGGCGAGAGAATAATATCCCAGTCCTGGAGTGCTTATAATTTATGTAAACATGCTCTTTTATTTTGTTTTTCTAAGCCATATCTCTGAATTGTGATTCTGCTTATTTTGCTCATAGTCATATTTCATCTCTGGTTCTCGTATAAACTACAAAAAATGAGTTGTTTTAGGAATAACACATGTTATTTCAAAGTAACAGTTCTCCTCCATAGTACTAGAATCGTCACAATGGGAATTCTAAGTACAGAGCCATTCCCTCGTTGGGGTCCTCATGTGTATGTGAAATGAGAAAAAGGGAGTATGTAGGTTTAAGGCCCTTTGGAGATAAACGGGGCTAGCAGAGTGTAGGTTTATTATGAGCTTTTCTTAGTAGAGCATTAAACTTCTTTGCCTCTAGTTAACCAAAGGACTTATATGCATATGGACAAGACAATAATGCCGTGAAGGCCTGGGGTGAGGCAGGAGTCGGTGGATGGGGGCATTTGTAATACTCTCAACAATAAAAATAAACTGAAAAAAGATTCTTTGTCTCTGAAAGTATTTTTGCTGCTAAGAACAGAGAAAGCCATGTAGAGACGATTTGTAGCAACATTTATTACTCTCCTAAATTCCTTCCAAGTTCTGCCTCCTTATCACACTGTGAGTTCAGCAGGTTCATTGGTCCCCACCAGTATGCATTCATGCTATATTACTGCTGTATTTCACCTTGCCCACAAAAATCTTTAAGCTGGCTTAGTTTAGAAGCAGAGTGATAGACTTATATAGCCTCACAGGTTTTTGTGAAATAGCAAAAAACATCCCACAGCCTGCAAATTCAACAGTAATCTAGTAAGAGAGAAACTTCTGTTTTTATTACAACTACACATATTGTTTCATTGCCTTTTATTTTGCTATTTCAAAGTATTTGGAAGACACAGTTCAGACTTTGACACAATCTGTGTTACTCTCTGAAAAGCTTTTTCTTAAAGTCAGGAACAAAATGTGTGACCAAATTTGGAACCTCTAATTTGAAGGTCCTGCAAAATACGATCGATAATCATATCTATTTTCTGAGATGAAATATGAAACTCAGAAAAGTTTATTTTAATTCTCTTAATATTAATTCGGTTCTTAATTGTGAGGCATTATACTGGGCACTATTGATACCATGACAACAAATATCTTCCCTAAACTGATAGTTGTGCATAATATAAACTGAAAGTCATAGTAATTTATAGAAGTGTTTTGATAGAAGTACAGAATAAACCATGAAAGTTATTTTAAGGTTTCGAATTCATACTTGATGATCAGGAAGATCTTCCCAGAGAAATGATGTGCTCTAAAAAAACGAGTGTGAGTTAGATAAAAATGAGTTGGGAGTTTGGAGAGGATTCCGGGTACAGGAACAAGAAGCGTTTAGAGGCAAGTGAAATCCTGGTAGGCAACCAGTGTGGTGTGAGTTTAGATTGCAAAGATATGGATGAGGGGGAGGGAGAACTAAACAATAGCCAAACTATTCAGCATCAGTAAGCCCAGATAATATGTTGGGACCATGTGCTAAAACAAGGTTCAAAACTTGGCTTCCATGCCTTACAGGGCATCATAGATGAGCTTCTTGGGGCTTGTGGAAATCTGTGCATAACCAGATTCTCAGAGGGCTCCAACAACCCATTCTCCCTTTGAAGAACAAATCCCTTTCTTGATGTCTATCTCCCTGCAACATACAATAACTATTTGTGAAATGTTACCAATTAAGCCTTGGTAACTTTATTTATTCATTCACACATTCACATTCTCAACAAATACCAACTAATTTTTTTTTTAATAACAAGAGGTACAGTAATGAATAAAAGAAGACAGACTTCTAAAGGGGAAGGACAGAAAATAAATGAGCAAAACATATATAAATGAAATTCATAATAAACAACACTATAAGGAAACCAAAATAAAGAACTCTGGTAGAGAGGAAGGTCTGCTGAGAAGGTGACATGAGCTAAAATTTAAGTTGGCAAGAAACTAGAACTGCTAGTGCTACGGCCTTGAGCCAGAATTGATTTGATGTTGCCGAAAAGAAAGTCAGTGCAGCTGCAGTATATATACTGAATGGCCAGATTATTATGATCTCTGAATGCATAATAATCTGGCCATTCAGTGTATATCCTATGTAATAAAAGGCTAATATGCAAATTGTCCCCTTGAGCAGGAGTTCGACCAGCAGGCAGGCCGACCAGCCGCTCATGACCCCTCCCCCTAGCCAGGCTGGTTGGACCCCACCCATGCATAAATTCATGCATCAGGCCTCTAATACACACACACACACACACACAGAGTGGCCAGATGATTATGCAATCAGAGATCATAATAATCTGGCCACTCAGTGTATAGTTGGTGGGAGAATACAGAGTAGGATGTGACAGTGGAGAGCTGGGCCAGGAATCAGGTCGTGTAGGTCAGGGTCAGGAAGCTGAATTTTATTCTGTGTCATGGGAAATCATTGAAAAATTCGGTGGTAGCATTATATGATCTGATTTATGTTAAAGAAAATATACTTGTATGGCAGAAATAGGAAGACTGGTTAGAAATCTGTTACAGGAGTTTAGGTAAGAGATAATTTTGTCTTGAACTGGCGTGATAATCATGGAAAGGGAGATTATTATATAAATTTGTGATGTATATTGGGGTAATACGCCACTGCCAATGTGGTAGGCATGGAAAAAGGCTAACTGCACTGGATAGGATTCTGTAATACAAATACTGCTAAAAGGAAAATATTAAAGGTATTGAAGTAACAAAACTTATTCTGGGATCTGTCTGACACACAAAATCAAGTTGGGCTATGCTTAACCCTGTCCTTTGTCGCCTTGTGGGCCAACTGACAATGTACCTCCTCTGGGTGAGTTTTCATATCTAAAACATGGAATTAATAAAATGTGAAAGCTCCCAGCACACCTGGTACCAAGTAAGTTTGTTCAGATTTAAAAAGAACAGTTATTAACTTCAGCAATAACCAAATGATTTTTGAGAATAGGTAGCTAAGTGGGAAAATAAGAGAATCTAGAGGAAAAATATTTTTACCAAAAGCTAAACTGCTACTTTCGTATCATAGCTCTCCATCTTGAAAATTTTGCTTATAGGATAAGATGACCAGATGTCCCGCTTTTGGCGGGACAGTCCCGATTTTTAACAATTTGTCCCACATTCCGCGGCGTTTTAAAACAGTCCTGGACGTCTAGTCACCTTATTTTAGGACCC